TTTGTTGGGGAGAGGAGAGAGAGCGAGACGGGGGGGGGGGGGGGGACGACAAAAACCTGCCTGCGTCTTCGGAGAAGCAGGGGAAAGAGAGAGCGGGAGTGGGTGGAGATTGTCTCTCAAAGGGGCCTCTTGCGCCTTTGTACAGAGCCAGGGTACTGCCTGCCATGCGTGCAGGGGCCGCACACTCTGCCAGGTTCCTCAAGGGGCAGGGCCACGGTGTACCTGGATGCTAACACAAAGAACACTACAGAAGACAGGAGTGGGAGAGAGTGAGTATAAGAGCCAGAGATGGAGAAGGGCGCTCGTAAATGCCGCCTTCCGGATATGTCATGGCTGTTAGAGTCATGAATTCACCTCAGCTGGGAGTACTGTCACAGATCATATGAACAAGTTCAGCCAACATTCCAGCCGGCAGTACTAGTTAGACTCGGTGGGCTACAAACAAACAAACAAACAAAAAACACAACAGGGTAGGTAAGAAGGGGATGTTTTAGGGGGCTTCTGGGGAGAGTGGGAGAGAGGAGTTGGGGATGGATCGTGTTCAGATGGACCCATTCCCCCTCTCTCTCCAAACCCCGCCCACTCTGAGAGTCTCCGAAGGAAAGTCGCCAAAAAAGCCCGGTTCCGCTTTCTTGGAGGCTAATGCAGCTTCCTCCCCTAAGAACTTGCCAGCTGCCCAAGTCCCTGCCTAAGCATTCAGTTTTTGAGAATACTTGGGAACAAACCCAATTTGTGAAAATATATTGCTGTGATTGGTGTAATAAAAGCTGAACAGCCAATAGCTAGGCAAGAGGTATAGGTGAGACTTCCCCCGCAGAGAGAAAGAACTCTGGGAAGAGGAAGGTCGCAGCGCCAGCCAGACTGGAAGGAAGTGGCATAAACAGTATGGAGATGGTAACGAGGGGCACACTAGAACGTAGATTAAAATAAATGTGTTAATTTAAGTTATGAGAACTAGTGGGACAAGCCTAAACTAAGGCCGGGCTTTCATAACAAATTAGTAAGTCTCCGTGTCATTTGGGAGCTAGCAGTACCGAGAAAAACTCATACAGTGGATACATCATTACCCCTCACCTACAGTCTACAAAACATTCCTGCCCTGGCCTGGGTGTGGGTGACTCCTCTGGCCTCGATCTCTGGGAGTCGCCTTGTTAAATATACCTGTTGTCATACTTCTTTCAATTAGGCTTGATCCAGCTTACTGCATCAGTGGAGAAACTTAGAGGGGTGGGACTTATTAGATAGAATTAAGATACACTGCATGAAATTGTCAGTGAATACATAATGGATTTTTAAAGAGAGGGAATACTGAAGAAAAACCAAACTGAAATATTGGGAATGAAAAATGCAGTAAGTCAAATAAAAGACTCTGTCCAAAGCCCCACCAATAGGCTGTATCAAGAGGAGGGCAAGAGCATCAGGGTTTGAAGGCAAGGGGAGGGGTGTAGCATTTGAAGACAAAGATAAATGGATAAGAATGTAGGAACAAAAACATCAAAGATAAATGAGATTCTGTAAAGAGGCAAAAACTACAAACTCTGGGCACAGAAGCAGAAGAATTCCATACTAAAACAAATAAAACAATTTAAAACCATAGCAGAAAGCTTTCCAAATCTACCAGATGTGATGACCATCCATGTGGAGGAGGCATTCACAATAGTAAACACGAAACCGAAAATCTCTCCCCATGTCACATTTTTGCTAAACATACAAAACAGAGGGGGCCTATTTAAAACTGCACCAAAAAAACAGCCCACCACACATGAAGGCAGGCCCTTCAAATTCATGGGTTTCTTGGCAGACTCTCCACAAGCCAAGAAGGCACAGAATGATGGCCTGCACTCCTTAAAGATGACCACGCCCAAACCTGTCTGCTGAGATTGAAGAGGAAACTTCTCATGAGAAAAACCAGGCTAAAGGAATTCATGATGATGAAACCTGCTCTACAGAAGAAAACCTGCAGACTGACAAGAAAGAAAACCACATCCCAGAGCCTGTAAGAAGAAGAGCATGTTAGAACCACAGAGTAAGGGAGGACCAGGAAAACGTCACACGGCAAACGCCAGCACCTGCCAATCACAGCTGAATTTTTCCCTTCTTTTTATTTATTCTTTGTGTTTTTCACACCATGCATCTCCACCCCATTCATTTCCCATCCCTTTGTCCCACCCTCTGCCCTTGCAACCTCCTCTACAAAATAAAATAAAATCTAAAAGAAAAAAGTGAGAAGGCAAAAATCAGTCTCATCCTGGAAGCTGTAGTGTGACACAGTGGGTCACGCAGTGAACCCTTTTGTCCATACAGCTTTACTTGCAAGTGCTCACTGCACAGAGTCATTGGTCTGGCTCGAGGCCTCCGGGTTGAGGTTTCTGATCCACTCCCAATGCTGGGCCCTGACTGGAACTCCTCGTGGTTATCCTGCTGTTGCCCCATGCACAACAGAATATTTATGGTTGAGATTCACAATCGAAAGACACTTGCAGGTTGTGAAGACAACCAGGATTTTTGTTGCTTCGGGGAGATGTGCCTCACACCAAAGACAGATGCAACATTCGGGTGAGAAGACGGGAAAGGTCCAAGTAAATGAGCAAAGGAGACAAGCAAGTGCCACCTCCCCCAAGAGCTGAGAAACAGGCTTCAACACTAGTCACAAGAGATAAGGAGTTAACCATGCCGTGGAAGGAAGGGATTCCTCAAGAAGACATTACGAGTCTATTAATTTATTGTTATCATTTTGGAGACAAGGTCTCACTGTGTAGCCCTGGCTGACCTGGTGCTTACTGTGTAGAGCAGGCTAGCCTCCTTACAGAGATCTACCCGCCTCTGCCTCCCAAGTGCCAGAAGTAAAGGCGAATCACAGGCTTTCCTCCTCCTAAACACCATTTTTTTTCTCTATATACCCACGATGTTTTCCCCTGGCCCAGATATGCTGGATTCTCTTGCAAACAGTCCTGGCCATGACCAGCCTGCAGTTTTTTTCTCTGCTCTGGACTCTCCCAGATACCTCTGGGTATTCTTTCTCTTTTTCACAATAACCCCCACCACCACCATGATGAAGCCTTTATCTAATTATTCTTCATCAATTATCGAGGCTATATAGGGAAAACAATATATTTATTTATCAGAGAGAGAGAGAGTCGCACAGACCAGGAGTTAGAAGCATGGCTGGCTTCCAGGAGAAAAGGGAAGCCCCTTTTTCTTTCACTTCCTTTTATCTACCTTGACCCCGCCCTGTTGGGCGGATAGCTTTGTGGGGTTCACCCCTACAATCAATAAAAAAAAAATCAGGAGTCAAATATAGGGGTAAGAACCTGAAAGACCAGGGAAGCTGGGAGCAGCCACCAGTGGCCTCCTATCTCTTCCCTTCCTCCATCCTAAAGAACTGAGAGCTCTCTGAGCCCCGCCTTACTACTTCCTGTCTCCTATCTGTCCTCAGTCCTCCAAAACCTCTTTCTTGGGCAGTAGTGACTAGTTCTACCCTCTGACTCCAAGCAAGCTTAATAGTCAAAATATGATCAGACTATCACTCATCATGGAGTGGCCATCTCTGTGGGTTTTTTGTTTTTTCTTACTGCTCTGTCGCTTACAATGTAAAGTTGGGATCTGGTCGACCGTGTGCTCAGATGGACCATGGAAAGTAGGCATCTCATACAGATGCTGGTGGTTTGGTTCTGACCACAGCACCTTACAACAGTTGGAAGTCTTCTGTGTTTTTATTTATTTTGCAGCACTAAGTACCATTATTCTACCACTGAGCTACATCCCGACCCTCACATCTTTTGAAGAACACAAAGAGAAAGGTAAATACCCCCATAATTTCTTTAAGAAATTATATGCCCTCTGGATGAGCAGTGGGACACACACCTTTCATCCCAGCACTTGGGTGGCAGAGGCAGGTGGATAGCCAGGGCACCAAAACAAACAAACAAACAAACAAAAAAACAGGAAAGAAAAAAGAGAGATATGCCCTCTGGTCGGAAGGGGGCAGGAGAGGACAGAATATGCTCTTCCAGCACCCACAAAGTGCAGTTGTCTGAGTCTCCAGCACGCCTGGTGCCAGAGGTCAGAAAAGGATATCAGAGTCCCTGGAACTGGAGTGCAGATGGTTGCAGATGCTGGGAATTGAACCCAGATCATCTGGGAAGAGCAGTTGTTAGGAGGAGTCCACTAGAGATGGCCACTGAGACAGTTTATAGACAACTGAAAGTCTTTATTCCAGCAGGCTGGGACCACACTCAGGTGTTCAGGGACCCAGGGATAGCCCTGAGTGTCCAGAGCATGGGTTGTTTGAAGGCAAAAACCACATTGGGGAATTTGCAGAAGGAAGCAACTTAACAGAAGCTAAGATAACTAGTTAGCTGGATGGGGTTCTGTAGCAGCAGGCAGTTTGTAAAAATAAAGGTAAGTTAGCTTGGGTATCTTGACCTTAGGTTCTAAGAAAAGAGTTTGGTAATTTTCCAAGGAATTTTCCAACAAGAAGATCAAATTCTAGCTAAACCTGAAATGACCTCAGCAAGAATACAAGATGGAGGAACCTCAGTGTTCTTTCTCTGTCACACAGTAAGTACTCTTAACCACTGATTTATATCTCCAACCTCCACTCATGTATTTTTTAATAGTCAACCCGACTCCTAAACTTTGGCAACCGCTTATCTTTTAAAAAATTATTTATGTTTTACTTTTTTAAAAAAAGTACCATAGAAATGGAATCAAACAATGCACATTCATCCAAGTATATATTTAATTTCACTGGATAAAAACGCTGAGGACTGAGATGGCCAGCGTTGTGGTGCAATGCTTTTCTTCCCCCTAAAGAACAGCCAAATTATTTTCCACCATGATTTTACCATTTGAGAGTTCCCACTAGTGTGTGAGCACTCTGGTCATCCCCAGCAGTGTGTGAGCACTCTGGTCATCCCCAGCAGTGTGTGAGCACTCTGGCAGTCCCCAGCAGTGTGTGAGCACTCTGGCGATCGCTAGCATTCTAGTTTTTAGGACTGTCGTTTTTGTTTTTAGGAGTTCTAGCAGGTGTGTAGTGGTGTTATTTTAATAACCATTTAATGCAAGTTCTTTTCTTTTTAGTAAGATTTGTTTGGAGGCACAATACTTCAAAGCACTGGGATTGTTTCAAGGAAAGTAGATCCAGAATCCTTGATAGAAAAGTTGACGGGAACAGCTATCTAGGCAACATGTGTAGGTGTTTCTTCCCTCTGGTCAGGAGAGCAGGAAGAGGACAGAAAGTAATGTGGGATTTCCATTCAACACCCACGGCTTCGCATCATGTACATGCACTAATGTTTGTGTATTGTGGGAAAGAGTTTCCCTTGGAATCCTCTTGGCTATTACACTGTGACACTTGATTTCCCCCCAAATGATAGATGGGAATTGATTCATTGTCAAACCTTGCCAAATGTTATAAAATCCTCTTCCACCAAAGCTGTAGTCAGACTTTTTTGTCGGGAACATCTGCTCTCCAATAATGACATGGAGATTTATTATTAATTATGAAAGCGTAGGCTTATTTCTAACCAGTTCTTATAACTTAAATTAACCCGTATCTTTTAATCTACTTCCTTTTATGTGGCTTGTTACCTTTACTCTGTATTGCCCATGCTGCTTCCTCTGCATCCTGGCATTTCTGCCCTTCTCCCCAGTGTCCTCTGTGCCTGTAAATCCTGCCTATATTGGCTGTTCAGCTTTTTATTAAGCCAATCAGAGTGACACATCCTCACAGTTTACAAAAAGAGTATTCCACCACATCCTATTCTAAGAACGGACTCACCCAAACCCAGTTAGTTACTATTGCTGGATCCTTGCTAAGTCCATTTTCTGGAATTACCATCAGAAATTGTGTGAGAACTACGCACAGCTGAGCTAGGTGAAAACCCACATCTTCCTATCCTCTGGGCTGACAGACTGCAGATCTTTGTGGGGAGGGGCTGGGGTGGCAAGTCTGCTTACTCCTAGGTGACTACAGGCCCTCCTCCCTAGGACTGAGGCTGCCCAGGCGAGGCACTGCACAAATCTTCTGGGGTTGAGGCTGCAGAGTCCCCCCAAAGACATAGTCCAGCCTGAGGTCCCGGCTCCCTTCAGGTAGCTGAAACCGAAAGGTCCTGAGGAGGGTGGCAAACATCAGGAAGAGCTCCATTCGAGCAAGCTGCTCTCCAGGACACACCCGATGCCCTGGAAGCAGAGGGAGGTCAGCGGGGAGCAGGGGGACGGTGTCTGTTCTAATTGTCTTCCCACCTACCACTCCAGGACCCAGCACTGTGCCTGATACCTGCAGAGAAGGGCAGGAAGGCCTCATTGGTCACAAAGTTTCCATCCTTGTCTAGGAAGTGGCCAGGGTTGAACTGTTGAGGGGTCTCCCAGCACTCGGGATCATGCAGCACGGAGGCCAGATTGGGCAAGATGATGGTACCCTGCAGAGAGGAGCTGGTGTGGTTCACAGAGGCGCAGGCTACCCAGTTCCCAGCTTTGGCCTGAGGCTAACGTAACCCCAATAAATGTCCTCATCTTCACATTCCCCACAGCCCCACTCCTGCAGACCCAACCCAGTGTCCACTCTGTCTCACAAGTGAAGTGTATGTGTGGCCGAAAAGAGACTCACACTGAGCAAGTGGGAGCAGAAAGAACCAATGTCCCAATAACCTATGCTTCTTTCCATGTGGGCCCTGGGCTAAAGAGAAACACCATTAGCAGCTAGGGACAGAGCTCAGTGGTCCCACACTCACCTAGCGTGCACAAGGCCCTGAGTTTAACCCTAGAGTCCTGGAACAGGAAGGAAGGATGGGGGGGAGTGAGAAGGGAGGCAATGGAAAGATCCAAGAAAAGAAGAATGGGGCTTAGCTATGGTCCTAGGTCTTAGGACACTCAGCTTCAGGAATCTGGAGAAGGCTTCCTATCCCATGGGTTATTTATCAGCTCCATAGAACGAGGCCAAATATCCCATGGGCACCAGGGGACTGACTGGCAGCTTCTTGGTTTTGACAAAGAAAGCTTTAAGTTTAAAAACAGAACAAAACAAAAACTTCTGAAGATCTTGAACTCTGCATCTCAAGCAAAAACTGGTGAAGAGCGCAGAAGCGCAGCTGACACCAAGGCTTCCGGAGACACTGCTGTTGAGGCTGCTGCACTTCCCCGGACTGAGGGAAAAGGCCTGGCTCTAGCCATCTGAACCAACAGAACACCCAGATCTGGTCACTCTGCAACTTTACATAGAGGTGTTGGGGAAGCATGCATTTCCCCAAGTGCCTGAGTAAGCTGCACGTGTTCCCGTTACAGTGCTGGCAATTTCCCTGGGTCTCTACCTGATATTACATAACCACATGCATTGGAACCACCATCCCATTACCACGCCACCCCCCCTCCCTGCCCTGTGGTGTTGGGAAATAAACCCAAGGCTTCACTCACATGTACTCTGCCTCCAAGCCACACCTCAGCCAAGTCATCGATCCTTGTCCTTTTGATTGTGAGTCTTAGCCTTTAACAACTGACTCATCTCTGTTGCCCAACTCGAGTTCTTAAAAATCACCTTCAGATGAAGGGACATTTGCAAAGAGGCTATGTGTGGTCTCTTATGTAACCCATCCCAAATGATAGCCAGTGCCTCGCAAAGCACTGACTGATCTTGGTTCATGGAGCAGAGTCAGAGTCACATCCATACATGAAAAGCCAATGTGCCTTTGCCCCAGATTACAAGAACCATCTGCTTCCTGGGGTCTCCATTCTGGCCTGTCCTCAGAAAAAGGCAGTTTGAAGTTCACCATCTCGTGGTGTCTAGGCAGAGGCATCTTGGAGAGCATCCATTGTGGTGGTCCTGTTGCTGTCACTCAGTTGTTGAAGCAGGGGGTTGAGTACTGTTAACTGCCAACTCATCAAAATCTATCCTTCCCTGGGAGCTGGGCCTCGATTTTGGCTGTGGGGATTACTCTGGTTATGTTCATTAAGACCTATCCACAGTGGGTAAGGTAGCACCATGCCCCCTGGTCGGTTAAGGGTAGAAAAAGCAAGCCAGGCACTGATGTACGTTGGTGCCTTGCTCTCTGGTCCTGACTGGGTAGAATGTACCAGTTCTCTTAGGTTCCCACTGCCTTGACTTCCCCTCAGTGATGACCAGGGTCCTCTGCAAGATCAAGAGCTCTTAACCACTGAACCATCTCCCCAGCCCCTAGTTTTGGTTTTTGGGACAGGATCTCATGTAGTCTAGCCCAGCCTTGACTATGCAGCTGAAAATGACCTTGAACTCCTGATGTCCCTGCCTCTATGTCCTGAGTTCTGAGATTACAGGTATGTATTACTGACTTTTATTAGTTGGTTTACTTTTGTGTTATTGGCTATTAAATCTAGGGCCTTGAATGTGGTGGAACTACACAGAACTCGTGTGGACAACAAACACTGGAAAGAAGTGTCTTAAAATACCCCTGACCCATGCACAGGAAACTTTAAGATTACCAACGACTGCACTCTATTATAGCCACATCCCAATGCCACAAAGTGACTGACTGACTGATCGCTGTCAGGTTGGCAGAGCTGTAGCAAGTGGCTGTGCTGGGCAGGACAGCTTCCTGGAGCTGCTGGGTCTGGCGTGGGCCCACTCCAAGCTCCTTACCTTGGGCACGTAATAACCATGCATCCAAGTGGATGTCACGCACTGACGCACAGCACCCACAGCCACAACGCTGCTGTGACGCTGCACCTCATGGAGGACTGCGCGGGTGTAAGGCAGTCGCTCTCGGTCCTCGTAGCAGATGGCCTGCGAAGCCCCCAGCACCTCGTCCAGCTCCTGCTGCGCTCTCTCTGTAGAAGGCTCAGTGAGGGCCTTGGGAAGACGCCTGTGGCCCACCGCAGCCCACTGTGCACCTCTCTACCCAGTGTTCCACCCAGAGACAGCGGCTGAAGTTCACAGCCTGGCTCATCCTCCCGCCCCACCGCCAGCTGTTCCGTGGAGGAGGCCCCACTTGACACAGAAGGAAAGCAAGGCTCCACAGGGCAGGTACTTTTGCCCTCACTGCTGGTTGTAGCCTGGCTGGTTCCTTGGAGAGCTCCAGCTACCTTTGTTCCTCACAACTGTGATCTTAACACTAACCCAGAGCCCGCCACTCAGTAGGTGCTGAGTCATTACTGAATGAGTGAAGCAAAGCTTCACTGGTTACGCCGGTTCTGAGAGCTAGAATGATTTCCCAAGGTCACGTAGCAAGTCACAGGCTGGCATCTGAAATCCCCATTGTCTGACTCAAAGTTATCAACGATCCCCGTGCTACAGAGATGAGAACAGGACCCTCCCCCCACAGCCACAGAACAGAGTGATGGGGACATGGTGCCTGAAGCCAAATGCTCCCTTGGGACAAACAGACTAGGGAAGTTAGACAGGCTATAACTGAGGGCACCCTACCCTGGATGGCTCTGTGATGGACCAGGTATACCAGTGCCCAGTGCAGTGTGGTGGCCGTGGTGTCGGTGCCTCCCAGAAACAGGTCAATCACCACTTGGATCAGGTTCTCCTCATTGAATGTGGAGACAGGGTCACCCATGGCCTGGTGGGGGGGGGGGAGGAATAGCCCTGGTGTCAAAGGTCCCTTGCGCACAGCCCTGTTGTCTTCCTAAGGTCTGACTTGTCCCCAGACTTACAGGACCTGAACTTCTTGAGGGTGAGACCCCTTGGAGGGCCTGAGTCCTGGGGCTAGATGGGCCTCTGTAGGGGACTGTTGCCAACCTCTGCCCTCTCCATCTATGCCCTCTGTCTCACAGTCTACCATCTCCAGAGAAGCCAGCTCTGACCTGGAAAGACCCTTTTTTAACCTAAGTTCCAAGGTTCCCATAAGTCTGCAGAATGAATCGAGCATGAGAAACGGAGCTCATGGCTGAGAAATGAGGTACAACCCAGGAGCACAGCCCCTCAATCCCCGTGCTCCAGGCTAACCTTGGTGATTTGTGACAGGTAGCAGTTGATGAAATCCTTGGGCACCTCAAGTGCCCTGAGCCTGTGCCTGGTGATCTCATGGTGGATGAAGCCCCTCACAGTCTCATGGTACTGAAATATCTTCTGGTGGGGCCCTGAGAGGTAGCGGAGGGCCCAGGGAAACATGTCATATAGCTACAGAGAGAAGAGTTCACTCAGGGTTTATGCAGGCACCAGTCAGGACAGCTGAGCACTACTCCAAAATGGGCTGGGTCTCTGACTTAAGAAGCTCAGGGCTGCCTTTTATGTGGAGAGCCCCAGACTGTTTAGACAGAAATGAGAGCCTGAGGAACCCAGAGTCGGGCCCAGCCATGCCTCCTGTCTGTGTTTACCCTCCCAGCCAGACCCTGACTGGGGCTCCTGCCCCACTTAGATCCAGACATTTCCATGGCCTGCATACCAGCCTCCCCAAAAGCCAATTACCCGGCGCCAAATAGTGCTGACAAAAGCTAGGCCAAGGTTGATGGCTTGAATTAGTTCCAGGAAGATGGGCTCCTCCTCGGAGAGGAAGTGATGACCAAACACCAGGGCCCCAATGACTCTCGTTGTGGATCGGACAATAGGAACCTGAGGGTCGAAGGGTCTACCTGTGAGGAAAGGGGCAGGGCTCAGTGTGAGGACGCATAAAGAACTCTACCTCAGCCTTCATCCATCCCCGAACACTGCCATTCCTTTACTTAATTCCATTCCTCATTCAAGCACCTACCAGGGACTTCCCATTGCTTCTGTGGGCCATGTTCTAGGAGACGCTGTGAGATGCTGACTAGACACATAATACGGTTCAGACATGTCACTACTGGAAAGAAGGTGGGATGGGAATTAACTGTGTCTAGGATTCAGGGAGAACTTTTTCCCCCAAGACAGGGTTTCTCTGTGTGGCCCTGGCTGCCCTAGAACTCACTCTGTAGACCAAGCTGTCCTCAAACTCAAGAGTGCTCCCCCTTCCCTCTGCCTCTCGAGTGCTGGGATTAAAGGTGTGCACCGCTACCCGGATTTCAGGGAGAACTTCTTATATCTTCTGAGGCCTGAAAGGCTAAGTCTTGGCTCCCCACAGGGAAGGAAGGGTTATGGCCTACGAAAGTTCAGAAGGAAAGTCAACACATCACAGGGCTGGGGCTATGAAAGACCCTGGGTGTTGACTGAGAACACATCTGGGTTTCCACTTAGACATTCTAAGGTCTGTGTCCACTCACCTTGGGGAAACTCACAATCAAAACCACTAGTAGTGTTCCTAGGGACACAAAACACACACGTACATGCACACATACACATACACACACACACACCACACACGCACACACATGCTCACACACACACACACACACACACACACACACACACGGAGTGCACACGCACACACTACAAGCGCGCGCGCACACGCCTCTGCAGGGATATGCGTGAGTGTAAAGCCGCACAGGGTTAAGGCAGGCTTGCCCTGGTCCACTCTCTCTCACCCTGCTCCTGGCGAAACGCCTTAACCAGCTCTGCTGCCTCATTCTGCAGCTGCAGTTCCAGCATCCGCTTGCCAAGGCCCAGCTCTCGAAGAGTCATCAGACAAAAGCGTCTCTGTTGCCGCCATGTGTGCCCATTGCTGCAGATAACGCCTGGGCCCAAGGAGGGAGAGATGACAGTCACCAGCCCCCACCCCCACCCCTCAGGCAACGCTGCCAGACCTAGAGAGCAGACCCTCAGATCACCTTCTCAACCTCCACAGGACTGCTGCTCTGACCAAGAGAAGCAGGGCATTGCGGGTCAATGAGTCTAGGGTTCTTAGGATGGACTCTGATATGCCTGTCCCCAATCTTCCAGTCTGATTCTGTCCCAAGTCCCCACAGAAGTGAAGGAGGAAATAAAGGAGGAGGAAAGAGACAAAGAAGCCTAAGTGGAGGGCCAGAGAGACAAGGCACTGTCTTTTTTTTTTTTTTTTTTTTGGTTTTTATGAGACAGGGTTTCTCTGTATTGTTTTGGAGGCTGTCGGTCCAGCCTGGCCTCGAACTCACAGAGATCTGCCTGCCTCTGCCTCCCGAGTGCTGGGATTAAAGGAGTGTGCCACCACCGCCCGGCTTGACAAGGCACTTTCTAAGAAGGCACCGTCATGGGCTCTCCCAGGTGTTCTGAACAGCGTATTCTCCAACACCCGGGAAGAGGGAGCGGCTTCCTCACTGAAGCCCACACGCTCACGGCCGTGAAGCCAGGAAGGGGCTAAGCCGGACTCGGATACAGGCCTTTTTAACATCTCCCCTCACATGGGGGTGGGGGGGGCATGTTGAGTATATCTTCCTGGTAACAGCCCTGTCTGCCCACAGTTCTCAGCAATCCTCATCCTCTTGAGCGCAGTGATGCTCAGCCACCTTCTGTCCCCTATTGGAAAGGCAGGCTCACCTTTTTCCCCAAACAGGTCTTGGAAGAATGGGGTGAGGGGCCTCCCCGAGAACTGTTCTGAGTTGGAGACCAGGGCTTCCTTCACCGCCCGGAAGCCGTTCAGCACCACGATGGGTGTGGAGCCCAACCACACGGTGAACACACTGCCGTAAGACTGAGCCAGCTGTGGAGAGACCAGGACTCTCATGGTTGTAGCGAAGCCCCCTGGGATCGCCCTCTTGGCACGAGTCCCTGCCTCCCTGCACCCAACACTCAGTTTCCGATGTACCTCCTTAGAGCACTCATCCACTCCTCAGGACCGAGCCCAGGGTCACAGACTCACTGGAGTCGGGGCTCAGCGCTCACACCCCATCAGCCGCGGGAATGGGTGTGTTCTAGCATTGCACATGATGCAAACAGCCAGCCTTTCCCAGCTCGGCTTCTCCTGTACTGCCTGGACCCGCACTCCGTGCCCCTGTTGTCCCACCCCATTTCCCGCATGGTCTTTATTCTCCATTTTACCACCTCCGTATGCCCCTGCATTTGGCAGGTGAGGAAACCAAGGCTCAAAGCTTCAGAGCTGACCCCACATTTGGAATGATCCTTGCTTCTACCTCCAAAGTCCCTGGGTTGAGAAGACAGTTTCTGTCTATCCCTTTAGGGCCTCACACTTGAGGTCCTGCCCCATACCTGAAACAGCGTATCTGGGTGCAGCTGAAAGTTTAGTTGCCATAAATTCCCAAGGAGGGGGAGAGGGAATGGGCCAGGAGGAAGGTGGCCCCTTTTCCAGCAGAAGGCAGCAAACTTCAGGAGCAGGAAGGAAGCAGCCAGGAAAGCCAACCCACTGAACAGAGAGAGCATGTCTGCGGCCCTGTGGCCTCCTCTCCTCTGCTCCCCAGTGAGGCCACCTTACTTACTGCCGTCTACTTTGGCTTTTATGCTCTCGAGCTTCTTGGTGACGGGAGGCAAACCAGCAGAGAAAATCCACTCAGTCACACTACTCACCCAGGAGCCATGTCACTCGGCAGGGCCGCAGGGCTCTAGTAGGGGACAAGTTGCAACCAGCCTTGCTGCTGTCACGCATACCTCCATCTTGGGGAGGCTTCACCCAGTCTCTGCCCTAATGGTCTGTTAACTGGCTGTTAGCCAAAAGGATAAGGCAGTAACTGTGGATGGCGGCAGCATCTCCTCTGGGGACACACTGCTCCACCGGGATGTGTGAAAGCTGGGCTCCGGTGCCTGCGCTCCACCCAGGTGTACAACAGCTCTGACGCTCTCTGGCGTGCACAGCTCTACCTGGTCTGCTCTCTGCTCAGCACCCATCCATGTCTGTCAAAAGGGAGCAGACATTTGGGGTCCCCTCGCCTCAGTTTCTCAGGTGTGATGGTATTATACCTTCATGTTAGCTAACTCCCTCTCAGAACTGTCACACCAGAGCCCAGCAACAGCACAATGCCACACTCCAAATTGGAAAACCGAGGCTGTCTTAGTCAAGACTATTGGCAACAGAGCATGGACAGGGTAGGGCATCCACAGATACAAGATTAGCCGCAGAGCTCTGGAGATGGGCCGTGGTGGTGGCCACACAATGACATGAATGTCCTTGCTGCCACTGAATCACACATTTGGGCATGCTACATTTTATGGTATGCATAGTGTTTAACTACATTTCTACTACTAATTTTACATTTTTCTGGAGAATGTCATACACGCATACTTTTTTTTATAGCACACCTACCCCTACTCTCTCACCTTTCAACTCCTCCTGGTACTCGCCAAACACTCCCTCCAAACAACTCCATGTCCTTTTAAAATGATTTTTAAAAAAGATTATTTATTATGTGTATAAGTGTTCTGCCTGCACACCAAAAGAGGGCACCAGATCTCATTACAGATGGTTGTGAGTCACCATGTGGTTGCTGGGAATTGAACTCAGGACCTCTGGAAGAGCAGCCAGTGCTCTTAATTGCTGAGCCATCTCTCCAGCCCCTAAAATGATACTTTAATTAACCTACGGGTGCTCATATATGTGTGGATGTGGGACAGGCTCTGGAGCATAGGCTGTCAGTGGTCATACTCCCAGAGAGATGATTCTCCTTCCCCCAGCAGCCAGCAGCTGCCAACTCCTCAACTAGAAGCAAGGCTTTGTGAGCCTGCACCCCACTTAGGCTGGAATGGCTCCATCGTGCACAGGTAACAGCTGTGGTGAGTTCATGATGGCAACAGCCATGCACGTCTAGAAGACAGCAGTGCATAGCCCTCTGGCTCTTCGAATCTGTGCCTTCTCTATAATGTCCCTGGGCCTTGCTGGGTATGGAGCTGATACAGACATCCCATTAGGGCTGGGCACTCACTCGGCACTCGTTCTTAGCACTTTGACCAGTTATGAGCCTTTGTATCAGCTGCTGCCCACAGGAGGATGGGAGGAGAAGCTTCTCTCATTAATGTGTTTTGTTTTGAGAAGGAATCTCAGGTAGCCAACGCTGCCCTCAAATTTGCTACATAGTAGAAGATGACCCTCCTATTTCCACTGTGCAAGGGCTGGAGTTACGTGTGTGTGTGTGTGTGTGTGTCTGTGTGTGTGTGTGTGTCTGTGTCTGTGTGTGTGTGTGTCTGTGTGTCTGTGTGTGTGCCACTCTGTCCAGCTTTTGCTACATTTTTTTTGTTGTTGATACTGTGTATGTTGCCTAGGCTGGTCTCAAACTCTAAATAGTTAAAGCCGGCCCTAAACTCCTGATCTGCTTGCCTGTACCTTCCGAGTGCTGGGATGACAGGCAGTGCTACCATGGCAGACTGTGTGCTACAATTTTCTAGAGGTCAGGAGGCCAAACTGGGAGGGAGCTGGAGTCCATGCAATGGGTAGACAGCTGGAGTCCTTGCAATGGGTAGACAGCTGGAGTCCATGAAATGGGTAGACAGCTGGAGTCCTTGCAATGGGTAGACAGCTGGAGTCCATGCAATGGGTAGACAGCTGGAGTCCTTGCAATGGTTAGACAGCTGGAGTCCTTGCAATGGGTAGACAGCTGGAGTCCTTGCAATGGGTAGACATGCAGGCAAACCCATTCAGTTGCCTGTGCCCAGGACTTCCCTGGCATCTCCACCATGATTCAGCTTTGCCTCCTTTCCAGAAATGTTCCTCCAGAGACCACAGGTCTCCACCAGCTGTCTTTGCACACTTGGGAGGTTGAGGCAGGAGGACTGTGAACTGGAGGCTTCCCTGAGCTACATTCTGAACCCTTTCTAAAAGCAAAACAAGAAAGAGACTTCTGCTCTCTGAGGTCTTCCCAGGTGGATCTCACCAATGTTTAGCCACCACTTCCTCTCACTGCATGTCTCCCTGACCTCATGCAGGGTTGATCTCACGCCTGTCAGCCTTGCCTGTCCACCCCGTGTTTTTTACAACATGGCCAGCTCAAGGGATGGATAGCATCAAGTTTCCCCTTCTTTGGGTTTCTGTGTCAGAGGTTGCTCAGTTTTAATCACCGAGCAATAGATTTACAGAGGAAGGACTTGGCAGACCATGAGTCCCTGTCCCTCAGTGTCCTGTTCTACGTGAGTGTATGATGATCCTTTCAGGTGACAACCTCCTCCTGTCCCTACTGCTATAAGAACTCCTTGAACCCAAGACTTGTTCTCAAATGCAGTATCTTATCATGGCCCAGTGCATAGTACCAGCATTCAACTGAGCTTTTATGCTGGCAGTCTGGGGGTGTCATGAGAGGTACTGCTGAAGAACATCAGAGTTTCATCAGAAGCTTTGGTGTAACGAAGACGTCCATGCAGCAGCTGAGGTGATGATTGGGCTCCAAGGACAGAGGTCAGATACAAAGATGGCTCTGTCATATGCCTGCATGTTCTACCTGGGCACCCTCCATTACGCTGTGTGGAGCAGGCATGCTTCTCAGAGTCTTCTCAAATCAGATACAACATCTAAAAGCTTTTCTTGAAGGTGGAAAACCTATCACCCTACTGGGAAACATGTCCACCCAACCCTCCCTAGTGTGTTGACCTGTGGCAGGCTTCTTTCCTCCCTTGCCCAAGGGTTACAGTGTTATGGATGCTGGGAAACATGTCCACCCAACCCTCCCCAGTGTGTTGACCTGTGGCAGGCTTCTTTCCTCCCTTGCCCAAGGGTAACAGTGTTATGGATGCTGGGAAACATGTCCACCCAACCCTCCCTAGTGTGCTGACCTGTGGTAGGCTTCTTCCCTCTCCCGCCCAAGGGTTCTAACATTCTGGCTGCTGAGGGCAGGACTCTTTCTAAAACAGAGACACACCCAGCACACTGGGCCATCATATTTCAGAAATGGCAGGCAACAAGGACATGGAGGCCCCCAAGAACAAAAACCTTTATTACTCAGCTGAAGTGACTGAGCTGTGGCCACAAGGTTCTTTTAAAGGACTCTCCATGTAGCATGTGGCTGGCATAGGTGTAGCTGCCAGCAAGTTGTACCAGGCCCTTGGCAGGCTCTTAATCAACTATCATTGCTACCCAGGCCATGGGGCTGTTTCCTTTTTAGCATTCTGAACAAGAATGGACAAAACCCAGACTGCCTCCCGTGCCCGTTACTCTAAAAACTTGTAGTAAACCAGGGTGCCCTTTCTGAGGCATCCACGGTATTTCTAAACTACTTCTATCTGAAGTACCGGGAAGGGTGTTTCACTTGCAAGAGGTAGGAAGAATATAACTCAAATCCAGGTCTTCTGTCTCTAATTCAGCATTCTCTCTTCATGGCTGCCTCCAGCTTGGGTGGAGGAGGCCCTGAACAAGACTGGTGAAGGGGACTCCCGACAGTGAAGAGGAGACGTAGAGGAGCACAGAGCCTGCCATGCTCTCGGGACATTAATGCAGTCACACAAGGTCAGACTCTCCCGGACTGCTGCCCTGCCATTAGACAATCCCTCCTGAGAGCTGCTATATCCCAGGGCTAGAAGATGCAGGGTCCTAGGGGTGACCACTCCTTCCTCTCTACCTATAGACTCAGTCAACCAAGAACCCTTTCCATGGCACTAGATAACAGTGGATATGGAGGGTTACAACCTCAAACATGGCAGCAGTCACTCCCCTCTACAGACTGTCTCTCACTGTAGGGGCCCCAACCTGTGTCCCCCACTAAGAGGGAAGAGGATCAAAGAGGTGGCACAAAGACAGAGTGACAGACAAGAGATCCCTAAATTGGCCCTCGCACACACAAAGAGGAGTTATTT